GTAGGAAAATTCTTTGGAAAAGCATTTTTGGTTTCTATATGTGCTATTTTAGGTGACTGTGTTGTTTAAATTGCAGATTTTTCTTTTATATTTCCCTTCTGTTTCCTTAAAAGAAAAAAAGAATTAAGCACTAAAAAAAAGTTAGTTATACTGACCCAATAGCAAACTTTGGCTGTTGACATTTCACTTCTGTTGTACACATTTCTAAAATCATTGACATGTCTGATGCTCTACACCACCACGTGAATAGGGATGTCTTCTGATAAAATGTCACACACATCCCTAGAACTGGCATAAATTCAAGCAATGCACAATTAAGTTTTTAAAAGCATTTTGAACATATTCAAGCACTTTTTTAAACTGTGTAAAATGAATCCTATGAATGACATCATAGCAAAATTTCTTTGACCATGCTTTAGTTGTAATAAACAGCTTTTAGTGTGTTTTACCACTAAGAAAATTATAATATACTTCATTTACATCTTCTCTGCCATCTGAAACCATGTCTTCCTTGGCTGAGAGGTTTCCAACATTCTGCTGTGTAGCAGTAACTCAATGAGTCTCAGCATTGGTGCCACAGAGTGCGTCTAAAGTTTCTAAAGGGACTTTCAGAGGCTTATGAATTGCCTACATCCCTCTAAAGATCTAAATCCTTCACAGGGCTTAAAAGGAATTTCCATAGCATATGTGCAATGTGCCAAGTTTAGACACTAGTCTAAACAAGAATGAATTTCAGTCTCAATGAAAAGATAAGCGTTCCTTACTATTAAATTATTGTGCCAGTAGAAAAACAATGGATCTTTTATACTGATCCAGTTGATCCACCCATAGAATTTTGCTTACAAGGGAAGTTATTCTTAATGTTGATATTGTTGATTTTGCAGCACAGCTGAAATCAGTTGAAATATGTTGAAGTCATGCTCTAAGGTCAAAAATTATGTCAAAATAGAAATAGGGTTACACCATGTATTAGCAGATTTCCTGCTCTTAAAGGACAAGGGCTTGACAGAAAAGAGAAAGGAAAGAAAGGGAAATGGTAGCAGCCATGGCAGCCATGCAGGTTTATGTTACCCAATATTTTTTGTGAAATTAATATGATGTGTCACCATTATACTGGGTTTTCTTTGCAACAGCTATTACAATTTGACTATTTAAATCTTGGGCTTTCTCTTCTTTTCTAACAGTCCTTTTTCTTGAATTTTAATAGTTCTAATTATCTTACACAGATTACAGAAATATGAAAATCCTTTCTGTAAATCTCAGTTTCTA